GACACGATCTTGGAGAAAGCCCTGGAGCCCTCGAACGCTGTTCGAGACGGGAAGGGCTCGCGGCTTGTTCAAAATTCGGGGGCTTCGGAGCTACAACACTGGCCGGCCAATGGATATGAGTAAAGGCCACGATGGCGTACATGCCGTAGCACAAACCATCGCTACAACCTGTGGTAAACAGTTGTGGTGGTGGCGGCGATGCCGCAATCTTGTAGAAGTTCAAGTCTCCGTAAGCTCTGAGGTTGTGCGGGGGTCCTTGGTTCACTTCCCGATGGTTTCTGCTCCGGGTTATGCTTTATTGGACCCGTTGTTGAGGGTTTGAGGTTGTTTCAGAGGCAAAGTAGATCCGGAGGGCAAGCTGGAGAGGCAGGAGAGAAGTATGTTGAGGGGGATGGGACTCTTGATCCTTCGGGGTTCGAAGTTCGAGCCTCAAAGTGGCCTCTCCCCTGCGGGAGGGCGCTGCAGTGCAGCTAAGCAGAGGCTTGCCTTTGCCATGTTCTTCCGCAGTCACCATAGGCTTCAGCTGCTTCCCGAAACAGGATAAAATGGCAGAGCAACCATCGTCATTAGCAGCTTGGCCCTGAACACCAATCGAAAGCCGCAACTCAGAGTGTGCTAGTGCCAGTCCTACTCAGCATTCCAGGTACCAGGGCCTTGCCAAGCTGAAGGTGAAGCACAACGAATGCCGCGGAAGATGCTAATCTTGGAATATTATTGAGTTGATACAGCCGAGCCTGTCTGTTTCGAAGCTGCTGTTTGGAGATTGATAGGATGGGCTCCGACGCTTGACAGTGCTTGTGGGGTTGTCTCTGGGTTCTTTATGGTGTGGGGTCGTGGAAGCTTTTGTTTAGCATCGGGGGTTTATTTGCTCGAGTCTTAGTGGTGCCCCAGCCAAGGCCCAGTTGAAGCGTTGGGCCTCGGCCACCGTTTATCGTTGAGATACCAGCAACCCGATGTACGAAGTTGAATGAATCGAAGCACACAGGTGAAACTTCAGCGGGCTGTGGGAGTGTGAGTTACTCATCCGCAGCTGCCCATTTTTGTGTATCGACGTTTGCCGAAGATTCCTACTGGTCCGCTGCCGCCGCCTGTCATCTGCATGAACTCAAAAGCCTTCAAAACCTATCGTCCCATACCTTAGGACAGGAGGAGAAGAAGATCCAGTACGACATGTGCAATGATCAGCTTCCCAGCAGCACGCAGTGGGCCTGTCGTACGTCTCGTTGCTAGCTGTTGGTGAAGCGCTCGGAAGCCTGAATGCTCGCAGATGAGGGCAGAGGCCAACATAGCCCAGGCACAAGGGAAGTACGACCTTGCTTGCTCATGTATTAGACGCTGTTGGAGCGGGCAAGGCATGCGGTTTTTGCGCGCTTCGTGCGAAGAGTGGCACTGACATGCACTGACATCATTGATCAACAGAAACCCTTCCTGAAAGGAGAATAAAGAGGGAGGCAGATTGTAATGGTTCAGGGTTTACATTGCATCGAGGTTGAGCTGTGGTTTTGGTTTCGAGCTTCAGGGTTGGATTTTAGGGGGTTCTCAAGCTTTCGTATCGATGGTTCAGACTTTCTGCAGTGCATTGCGTGAGACGCCCGCCGCTGACCCTCAGCCCAAGTGTTATGAAAATACTCAGGTCGTGGAGTAAGGGTTAGGTCAAGGTTTTCCGCGAGAATTGAAATTCCGGCATATCCAGAACTTTGGTTTACGAGACTTCACAGACTGAAGGTTATCTTCCCTGCAACCAACTGGTGGGCACAAGGCGTCTGTTCTGAGTTGGGAAAACCCTCCATATGCATGAGAACCTCAAATGGGTGGGAATGCAACTTGGAACAAGCCCTCCCTCCTGTGAGCGGTATAAATGTTCAGGTTTAGTTTAAGAGCCTGCATCGAAGGAAAGAAAACGAGAAGCAGCTCATGACTGCCTCGTGCGATCAGAACTTCACCAAGTCACCCGGTGAGCACATGCGGGGTTTTGACGATGGCTACGAGCCAGCCATTCCAAACCAAAGCTCGTGCCAAGCTCCAGCACCTTCGCAAGATAACGACGAAGCAAGAAGCCGCCCTACCTAAAACCCGGATAATCGAGTGAAGGGTATTCGGTTTCGGGTTCAAGGCTTATTCCGTCGCATATCTATCTTTCGCGTTGCCCCCATGAATGCAAGTCGCAGGTACAACGAGGCTGATTATAGTCGTTGAATATGGTTCAAGGCAGCCCTACTTGGCCCCACTTTATGCAGCTGCCACACCCAGGATGCTGAAAGGCCGACCCGAACCACATAAAACTTGACGGGATGTTCTGGGTCGGGCGGATCGGTATAGGACTGAGATTATTGCCTACGTAGGCTATGCGTGCTTGGATTCAGCTTTGCTGCATGTACAGCTTGATCCTCTATCCGGACGTAGCATCCTCCATAAACTTGTCGTGTGGCCCGAATGGCGGCAGACCCACAACATCCCACAACGCCTTGTCCTTCTTCACAAGCCAAACCCCACACCCTGCCATGCGGCTTGTCCTATTTAAGTAGGAGGCAGCAAACCACAACAATCGGAAGCCCCAGAGCCCCCAACTCACGTCTCGAGCTCCACACCGCCCCAGCTCAACACCCTCAAGACACGGCAGAGGTTCTATCAGAAAGCCGCCCCTTGGCGACCTGCAAGCGTGGAGGGTTTCCGGTTCTCTGGTGGCTTTTTGCGAAGGAACAGGATAGGGGCATTTTTGTCAGGGTACAAAAGGTTCCCAATGTCCGCACGTGTATGCCGTATGCCGGCCCCCGCTGTTTGGGTAGAGCTCCCGTACAGTAAGAAAAGAGCTTTGTACGGGTTGCAGGTTAGGAACGGTTGGGGCCTCAAGGAGTTTGCAAATGTGCCTGCCATGCTGCAGGATTTAACCCACAAAGGAAACCCTCGTCGGCTGGGGGCCTACGAATGGGCCCTGGGGCTGGAAAGAACAAAATCTCCTGCCTAACCCTGCAATCTTGAATTTGTGCACCGTTGTTTGTGTCATATCCTTGGAAACTATAACCACTAGACGTGATCCTCAGAACTTGGAACAGCAACTCTCAAAGGTACGCCATGCAATCCTGAAGCTCCTCTGGAATGTGGCTTCTAAATGAGAGCCAAACTCCTGATATCGAAGTTCTTAGAAGTAAGATTCCCCGAAAGTGCCTGTTAGAATAGCAGCAGCAGGCAGTATGAATCAACACCTGTAACTTAGGGACACTTGGTTTTTGAATTGCACTTTTGGTTCCTAACATCCCTCAGAAACAGCTAGAAGTTACAAGTTTTGTAAGGGTTTAAGTTCAGTATAGTTCAGCGGCCAACACCCCGAAGCATGGAGGGTGCGACCACCACGGGCCAGTGGGGAGCCACGCCTCTCGGCCGCAAGGATTGATTTGATTGATCGCACCGCGTGAGTGTTCGACTGCATAGGCGTGTATATACGAGTTTTGAGCATGATTACAAGTCTTTCGAGTTTCGGGTGCGTTGATGCGAGATCATTTGATTCCATGACGTCTGGCTTTCGTTTCTGTTCTCCGTGGTCCGAGGGTCGAAGGCAAGCGAAAGTTCAGGCCACGTCGCGGGCTTGCAAGTCCTAAACCCTCATGCCTACTAGATAAGTGAGTTTGCTGATTCTTGTTCATGGAAGTTTTGGGGCTCTGGGTTTGAAGAAGGTTTCAGGTGGCGGTTTAGCAGATCCGTTGCTCGAGTATGTCTTGCCGGGCATCCTGTTCCTGACACAACTGCATCCTGCTTGGGACGGAGTGAAAATTCACAGAGAGAGAGAGAGAGAGAGAGAGAGAGACAGAGAGAGAGAGAGAGAGTCAGAGAGAGGGATGGTGCATGGATGGATGGAAGGATGGATGGATGGATGCGTGGATGGATGAGTACGTAGACAGACAGATAGCTAGGAAGGCGGAAAGCTAAAGGAATGGATAGACAGGTAGGTAGGTCCGTAGATAGATACGGTACCAGACATTCCTTATCACACACGGTCCGTCCGAAGCACAAAGCTCACGTCAAGGGGAAAAGAAACTCAGCAGACAATCCTCAGCGAATAGATTCCATCGAATCGCCGGCGGCAGTGGTCCGAGTGAGGTGTGACACAAAGCAGTCCACCTACCAGCAGAACGCTCCGGCGGATATCCCATTGATCCACCAGCCTCCTGGACAAAAGCAAGAAGATCCTGTTGCTTTGAGGGTTTTCTTTGCGAAACGATAAGGGCCCAGGCAGGATTCTGAGCGGTTCATGAGGGTTCGTATGAGAGCCCCAAGCAGCAACGTGGCAAACCAGGTGTGTACCGGTTTGAGGCTTTTGCTGCAGGCCCATTTTGGCCTTGGGGCCTCCTTAGCACTCCTTCGAAGTCGCAGCTCTATTTTAGCCAGACTTGCGCGAAGCCCCCAAAGTTTCGGGGTTCAAGGATTGTGCGCTGAGCGTAACTGAGGCTCCGTGTCTCTCTTGCTCTTTCTATCCCCTGGTTGTTAGGGTACTTGCTGAGTTTGCAGTCACGGTTTCTGGTGCACGCTTACGATGATGCTTCTTGCGGTTTGCGTCACCATGACCACTTCTTGCTGCATACTTCGTGCTTCTGTTGCAAATTTTCCAAGCTGGGCTGCGACTGTGTGGCCACAATGCTTTCTGACTGAGTCCGTCCATCGGCACGGTCGATGTGGAAGGTGCGCGGGTCTTGTCTGGTCTTGCGGGAAAATGCAGCTCCACCCACGTGGTTCCAAGCCAGATGTTCGTCATTGGCGGTGTTTGGCGCACTCCTTGGGTTTCAGATCTTTCGGCAGTTTCGCATCTTGCATGTAAACCGAAAGCAAATTTCTTGCCATCTCTTGCACTTTTGGCTCTGCGGCCGAAGTTACCAAGATATCCATGGCTTTGGATCCGTATTGTCGGACTAGTGACTAGTCTTCGAGGTCCAAGCTTGCTTGGCCTGCTGTCGGACGTGCAAGGCATCGTTTCAAGTAGCTTGGGGTGTGCAGGTTCCAAACTAGAAATGGATTCCACTGCAGATGAATGGGTGGGCGAGGATACTTGCCTTTTCCCATGTGAAGACCTTGAGCCGCTGGAAACACAGCTTTCTGAGGAGCTCGACGCAGAGCTAAGGGGATGCTCTGTCCAAGTTGGTCCGCACAAGGTGGCGGTCTCTGCATAAGGTCGTGGAGGGTTGGGGGGGGTCATAACACAGCTTCTTTCCTGAAGGATCTCGCAAGATGGTCACGGATGAATCTAGGAACATCCCTCACGTAGCATAGGCATAGACAATTCAGAGGTGAAGCTGTACATGGCAAAACAACGAGCCGACGACCTGTCCCCCGACGACTTGGGCCTGCGAATCTGGCCGGGGACACACGCCATGGCCTTCCTGTCCTTGTGCTGTCGAAAGCTTTTTTCTCCGTATTATGCTAGAACGTTTAAAGCCCACACCCCATAACAAGAGAACAGCACTGCTGGAAGGCTTCTTCGCCTCGAGCGTGAAGGTGTCTTGGCTGGCCGGTCTGTGTTGGATGTGGGCTGCGGGACGGGCTTCATTGGCATTTTGGCGTGGAAGGCTGGCTGCGGACTTTCTATTCTTTCGGATCGTCCCGGTCGGGCGCTGTGTGCTGCTCGGGTCAATGCTCTGGCAAATGGGGACGACGGCGACATCCTGGTCAGGTGCCTATCCTGGGGTCCCGGCAGCGTCGATGACACTGAAGGTGAAGTCTACAACTTAATCCTCCTGTCCGAGGTGTTGTATGTTGCCCAGCCCACGTGTGTTCCATGGAGCCTGGACAAGGACGACGTGGAAGCCCTGGTGAAGCTGACAAAGTTGAAGCTGAGCCCAGAGGGGGATGCCTACATCACGTACGGTAATCGGGAGGCAGGCGGTACCGAGCAGGTCCAGGCAGCTGCAGAGGCTGCCGGGCTTAGTTTTCGGGAGCTTCCCTTGGAGACGGTGATCCCTGAGGAGGTTCTTTCCCAGACGAGGACTACTGCGCTTCGCCGAGTTCGAGTCTTTCACCTCCGACACGCAAGAGGGGTCTGAGGAAAATGGAGAGTGAAAGTGGGCTTTGTCAGATGGACTTCGAAGCTTTCTCCTTGGCGTTGCATGACTTTGCTTGTCGACTTTCCTGCTTTCCTCTTGATTCGTTGGCAGGTTACTTGATTGAGCAGTTCGACTTCTTCTCGACAATGGTGTTGCCACCTCAGCACTTGCTGTGGCAGAAAGGAAGTCCGAAGCCCTTTCTTCCAGTGAGGTTCAACCATCCGTCGAGATTCACGAGGGAACTCACTTCCCAGATCTCTCAACCCTACTGTTTTCCTGCATGTTAACCATAAGGCGTAGTCTCTAGCGGAGGTGCGCGCCTTACCCTGTACCTCCCGAAGAGATCCCGAGCACCATGCAGAAGACTCTGGCAAAATTTCCGGCCAATGTCATCTTTCGCACGATTTGGGCCGCTTGAAGGTTGTGGAGTTCAGGTTATTTGGGAGAGGGTTTCTGGCTGAGCGCCCGGAGCGGGTTCACCAGTCCGGTCCTCCCAGAACAAAGTACACAGATTTTCTGAAAATACAGCTTTTGGCCGGGTGAAGCTCTGAAGCTCAACCTTCCAACACGAAACAACCACAAGAACAAGCAAGGAAAAACGATCGCATTCAAGTCCAATACCAGAGGATCTCGGTGTTCTTTCTCGGGTGATACATTGGATGTAAGTACCGTCGCGTCGTGCTGCGCAGCAATCGGTTTGCATTACCGCAGCCGCGTGATTTTGGGAGTGATCTCGGATCTTGGAATGCATGCTGGGAAAGAGCTCTCCCCAAGAAGCCATCACACGTCGCTCGAACCGAAGTCTTGTTGGATGAAGCCCCGGGAAGCATCTGAAAGTCTCAGAAACCGAAGGGTCGTTGAGTTGAACTTCAAGCCATCAGCGGGGTTATTTGGATTGGAATCCGTTTTCAGAAAAGGGATTTGCAATTGCAAGAAACCCCCGCCTCGAGCCCCCAACAAGGTCGGACTACAAGTTTGCAGAGAAGTTGTGCTACAATCGCACGAGGACTTGAAAAAAGGATAGGGGCAGGAACTACACTTCTTTGTGCGCAGGTCCAGTTGTGAGGGACTTTTTGGATTGTGTGTACCAGAGCTTTCGCTCGCTCGGGAGGGTTGCGAGCGAGGCATCTTCGTTTCTTGGCTGCGGAGGCCCAGCATTCCTGCGCAAGATACTGTAAGTAGGAGACAAGAACCATCAACGTGCCCCGGAACTGCCTATGATTCAACATGTTCCTTCAGAGCATGCGCGAACCTCAGACCCTCGCTTGGCCAAAGTGACCAGCCCATACTTGATTTCGGTAGGAGAAGCGTTGTACACTCCCCACTTGTCTCCCAGTTTAGCTCCACCTCACTAAATCTGAAGTGTTATTCTATCCTTGGAACTCCAGCCCCTACACGCGGGAAGCGTCTGGCACCTCAAAGAAAGCCGCCCCTGGACAGCCTGAACTGGGCCGCCGGTTAAGTTTCAACCTCTACGGACACTGAAAGTTCTACGCAATGTTCTCACATGCAGGACCTTGGAGGACACGAAGAAAAGGTGTGTTGAGCTCAGCTAACAAACGCATCGCTGCACAGTTGCTCCCGCCTGGATGTTTCTGGTGCAAGACTCTGGAGGTTCATGGGTCGCTGCAAGGGCTCCAGTAAAGTAGACTAGACCCAGCATATGATGTTTGTGAAGACGAGCCCCGCCCGTTGTAGAATCAAGATGCTCCTCTGACGACCCGTCTCCATCTACCAGCACCGGACCTGAAGGTCCTGAGGTTCCTGCAGGGGGGTAATTTCTGGATACCTCCTACGGAGTGCCGCAGCTCTGACCGTTAAGAGGGAACGGCTGAACATTCAGGACAAATGCCTAAGCGGAGAAACCAACAAAGACAATGACCGACCTGAAGGACTTGAACGGGTTGCACGCCCCACCCCCTAAGATGCTGCAGGGGCACCCTACACATTCTGGTCACATTCTTTAGACAACGACGGGCCGCGAAAGCATGCAGAATGTGCAACTTTTGAGGTGAGAAGCTCTTCCAGGAGCACGGAGACATCACGGCCGAATGTGATACCTCCCAGGCTTCGATTCTCTCTCATGGTTCCTTCTTCATCGGAGTCAACAACTGACACTCTCGCTCAGGGGTGCGGGGTCTTCGTTTGTACAGAAACCTCCCTGCCCTCACAGCTTGCATGCACCTTCACTGATTTGAATTTCGGGGCTGGCTCGGGTGCCAGAGCACCCTGACTGCAGCTGTCCGAGCCCTGCATCAGGACACTCTCGATGCCGAGTCTTGCTCGTATCTTGGATGAAGGTGTGCGGTCTGCGGCATGAGGCACCTCTCCAGTAGTCTTTGACCAAATTCTACGTTAAGCCGACCTGGTACTACAGTTGCCGCTGGCAGAGTGGTTTGGGCGGTGCAGCGCGTCACTCGGTCGTCGGTGTACTACCAGTTCTCATAAGATCGAAGCAAGCGGTGGCCACAAGTTGAATCAGGATTTCAACCTCTGGCTTCCTCCCTGCCAGCAGCACATCCGACACACACTTCCTTGTTTGGGTGGCTCACATTTATGGAGGAAACTAGGCGCCCTGGCCTTCCACGCCCTCAAGCACTTGCGGACCCGAGAAGCTCGAATGCCAGGCATGCCTTGAAGGAGTTCAAGAAGCTACTGTACTGTTTTAGAATGCTCCCACTACTTGTTGGGTTTGGGCTTGAGGACGTCTGTCCAGGAAACGAAAAGACTTCGGCATCCTAAACAACGCATGCAGCAAAGCCGCACTGAAAGTTGAGGGCCCCAGAAACAAAGCAAACCGGACATCCACACCCTGAAGGCTAGGTTTGGTAGACAGACCTCGCCAAAGGCTTTCGCCACCACAGGACGACGAGCCTAGAATGATGGTAAAGTCAAGCAGTCGTGAAACGCTAACTTGAGAGAGTGGACATGGAGGCTAGCCTTCACAGCAAAGTTTCCAAGCATGCCAAGGCCTCGAAACTTCGCAAGTCACAGCATCTTCTGCTACGAGGGTTTCGGACAACCCTAAAGGAAGCCAAGATTAGTCATAGAAGACGGGCAAGAGCATTTCCTCCATTGCAGCCATGGCGGACCCTGGCATCGTCTTCAGCTCCCGCCGCGCCCCGGCCCCTTGCAGCTTGTTTTGGCCGTGGCTCGGAGGGGCGGGGGGAGTCTGAGGTCCGGCGAAAAGTGTGGACAGTGTGGGATGATGTGGGATTCAAAGGGGGGTTTCAGGATTGGGAGCAGAGCCCACAGAGCCCAAGGGTGCCAAACGAATCCTGCAAGGCCCGAAACCCTCCGATGCCAGGTCCATGGTCGCCGGGGTATGGTTGCTACGAGTCAGCCGCTGGCCAGCGAGGATCGGGCTCCGGGGCTCTTGTGGCTGGTGGGCTTCAGGGTTAAGTTTCTTGGGGATGGAGTTAGGGTCAGGGGTTTAGGGGTTACGGCGGTTAGGGTTCGGGGTTCGGCGCGGAGCGTCTGCCGTATGATGCTAATTCTGTTTCAAAGTAGATTTCTTCGAGGGGCAGGGTGTGGCATTCAAACCAGGGTTTAAAAGAGTGCTTCAGGGTTAGGGTTCGGGAGTGAGGGGGCTTCAGTTCAAGGTTGAGGTTCAGGGTTCAGTAAGGGGGGTACCCGGCAGTCGCAATAGGCCTGGATGCAAAAAGTAAGGGGCAGCAAAGAGCGCAGTGAGGGCAGTAAACCGTGTCCCCGCTGCACGAAGCAGCGAAGGAAAAGGGAGGGCAGGGCGGGAGCCATGTCTGAGTGTTGTTTGTGCGCCAAGCAGCTGAAACCGTTGGCTCCCGGGTGTTTCTGCTGGCCAGGGAAGTAATCAGAACAGCAACCCGTGTCCCCGGTACAGGAAGGAGAGAAGGAAAAGGGAGGGCAGGGCGGGGGCCATGTCTGACTGTCGGCTGGTGTGTGGCATTAGATTAGCGGCTGTACTGCGTCAGCCAGGGTTTGTCGACACCCTGTGCTCTATCAACCGTTCCTGCACTTTTATCGTGCTTAAAAGGTTCCTTGCTACGGTGAAGAATACCAGGGCCTGGTCATGGTTACAGCACCGCCTCCCGGTCTCGTGCTCAGAGCACTGGCAGCACACCGGCACCAGAGGTTTCTTCCCGTCGCGGCCATTCCAGAATGCCGGGCTAGCCATGAATGTGATTCTGTTGCCCAACCACATGCCCAACCACATGGCGCAGTGCCAACATGACAGATCCTGGATCTCGCCATGAGTCTCAGTTCCATACTCGACCCTATGCACTGGATGGTTCGAGCGCTAGGTCGAAGCCGTGCATCCACAGGCAACAAAATACGGCCCGTAGTGACGTAGTGTTTTTGAGAAACTGCCGTGGACATCATCGGGTGTGAACAGAATTCTGTCCGTGGCCACACAGCTCCTCAATTAACATCCGTGCGACTTGAACGCCCTGTCCTATGCGGAAGGCAAGAACACACCTTCTGTCGCACTTTTTGCTATAAGGGTCGAATAGCAGGACTTGCAAGTGCATTCGATTCTGATCAGACAAGCCTTCGTCTCCAGGCAGCCTGAGCCACGAAAATCAGAAACTCTTGTGTCATGCAGGCCGGCATGCGGATCCTGCAGGCTGGGGGCACCGCCGCAGATGCTTGCAACCCTGCCGCACTTTGAGAGCGGTTTCGACTGTCAAGCTCCACAGCTGAATCTGCAGAGCCAGAGTCTATCGTTGAGACGGTTTCTGGTCGAATGACCCACATTCAAATTCACACCGCATGACCATCTTCCCGTGCTCCACACGTGCCCGCTGCTGTAGTTGCTGGTTGGTTCGATCTTTTGGGGAATCTGCAGCATTCACTCCCCCACTTCGAAAAGGTTGACACGTTGCGTGGCAGCCCATGCACATGCTCTGCTCGCTTCTGCAGGGTCTGAGCTCAGGTGTCGCAGCCGCAGCCGCCCTGAATGTCACGGAGCCGTGCAACACTGGCATTGGACCGGGCTTGGGTGATATCTCTGGCTCCGCTGC